TATTATTATTATTATTATTAGTTAAGTTATTAATAGTTTATTCTGCTTGACTTGTTCTTGATTGACGTACAGTTGATATATTCATCAACGCACGTTCTCTGTAAGAAATATAATCAAACACATTAGGTATACCAGTATATAAGTAATCATCTTCCCTCCATCTCTCAGTTAATGTAATAATCAAACACAATAGTATCATGTATTGCGACCATAATTGACAAAAGGTACCTTATGGCAGATTACTAAATTCATCATTATAATGAAAAATATCAACCTGTGGGTGCTCTGTTGGATAACCATTGTTTGTGGAAGTTACATAGTAACTTTTTGCATCCTCTGGAGTAATTTTATGATAAATGGAGCTCAGGAAGTTAGATTTTTTTGGCTACAAAGACAAATTTTACTATCTGCCATAAGGTACATGTACCTTCTGTCAATTATGGTATGGTCACATATAAGTAACCGTTCTCTTTCCCTCCCTCCTTCCTCACTTACCTTGCTTTCTTTGAATGACTCATCTTCTTCTGTGTGCTGACCATTGGTTGTAGCTGACTCTGGAAGTTCTTGAAATTCTTCACAAGTTCTCTCTGATAGTCGTACTGCTCCTCTCCAATCAACTCCTCATTCCTTTCAAGAGCTTCTTGACAACTAAAGAGAGAGAAGATAAAGAGGGAGAGAGTTTAGTATTAGCAGGAGCACATAATGTAAACTCTTAGTATTAGTCTGGTAGTGTGGATTTGCGATGTACCGTTTGGTGAATTCTTTGAAGCAAACTTTCAGTTTATGATGAAGATATCCTTGTTCAGGTAGAGGAACATCCTCTAGGAAACACTTAGCAATCGCAAATGGACCCTGAGAAGAAAAAAGAGGAGGAGGAAGCATAAATAAAATGATATAATTTTATAATTATTAGTAGTATACCTGGTTAACAGCTGTAGCTATTCCTCCTTGCAGCTGCATTTGAAGTAATTTTGAATCGCAAGGAGTACGATTAAGGACAGCCTTCAGTTCGTGTATTTTTGATTCCATATTCAAAATGGCTACCTCAAGAGGTTTAAGCTTTACAGTATCAGTCCTTATGACTTCAAGACGCCTTTTAACGTACGGGAAACTCTTCTCGGTGGTGAGTACCGTCCTCTTCATCCACTGATTGTGGAGTTCTCCATGAGCTTTACCTCCTGGTGTGAATGGGGTACTGAAGAAGAAACGTCCTAAAAATAAAACATTGTTACTAATTATAGACTAAATGCTATATATAGTAACAGTACTGTTAAAATAGAAGTGTTACTAATAATAGACTTTATGCTATTTATAGTAACATTACACTGTTACTAATTATAGAATGCATGTGCTATTAATAGTATCATTGCTTACTGATGTTGAATGATTTGTCAAATACTGTTAGTCTCTTTTTCAGTTCCCAGTCCTCGAAATATGGCTCTACATACGTCACCTGTATGTAAGCCTTTCCTCCGTCAAGTTTTGAAGTGTCGACCTCGTTTGAGTCCTTGATGATCTCAACCTTTTCAGAACCTAACTGCTCACTGTAAAGGTTCTAAGACAAAAAAGAAGAGAAAATGATTGTAATATTAGCTACATGTATAAAACTTCTAAAATTAGAAACAGAAAATAAACACAAATTTGATTAAATTTTAACAATCATACATGTACATGTACATGTACATTGCAGCTGCCCTACCTCTAGTTTCAAAGAGAATTCGCTCAGTTTCATCAGAGCCTCCTCTTTGTATATAAACTCTTTCATGTGAAGGTCTCCGAACCAGAAACCATAAAACCCAACCCTGAAGTAACTCCCGAGGAACCTCCTGTCCCCTTTCTTTGCCAAGCTCTTGTAACAGTCTGAGAGTTTGTTATAAACCGACTCTAAACTGTGGTTCTTTCTCCTGTGCTCGTACAGAGGAATTACTAACTTATATATCTCAGCAGCTGCTTCATATAACTGAGACTAAGAGAGAGAGAGAAAAGGTAATGAATACGTACATGTACATGTATTATTTATTGTCATGTGACGATCATGTGATACGTACTTCTCTAAACATTGGAGCTGCTTGTTCTAATAGTCCAATGAGTCCAGACTCTGTGAATAATCTACTGGTAGCAATACCTTCCTCGTCCTATAATGAATATTAATTGGTGGGTGTGTCACATGAATATTAATTAGTGGGTGTGTCACATGAATATTAATTAGTAGGTGTGGTTCCCTCACTGGATTAATGACATCATCAGATATTGCACTCTCCTCTAACATGTTTGGTGATATTTTTTGAAACGTGACGCAGCCGACCGGAAGGTGCTGTGACCCGTCCAACATGTACAGGTACTCCGCCACTAGAGCAGCTGCATGGGTCAGGCACATTGCTGACTCGGTATAGTGCTCTTTCTGTGGTGGGCATTAAATAGAGAGGGTTAAATTAAGGAGAGTACCTCGTTGTGCTGCTTGGCCATGTTCTGTAACCACGTGAGACGAAGATCAGGAGACGTTTGATAACTATAAGAGGAAGAAATAATTTCACATGTAATTTACCCCCTCTCTCTCTTACCCTTTGGATATCCTGTACATCAGATCCATTAACATCTCATGATCCTGTCAGAGAAGAAAGAAAAAGAGACATTTATAAACATTAGATATATTACATGTACATGTACATTCGTACGTTTTGGAATGACTTCATTTTCACAGTATCCAACAGAATACGATGAAGATTAATAGCAAGCTCCTTCACCTAATGAAAGAAATATCAATTATCATTATTATTATTATTATTATTGTTGTTGTTGTTGTTGTTGTTGTTGTTGTTTACTTGTTCAGGGAAGCTAGTCTGATACATATCATCATCTCCTTCAGCATACAGTATCAGTGTCTTTAATGAACGACGCAAATGATGCTCATTGAAAGATTTCTAAAAAAAGAAAAAACATACCAGTAATACTCATTATTGTTCTCTTGATGTTATAAGGTAATATTCCATTCTCATTCTCTCAATATTCCATTCCCAAACACTCATACTCATTCCTTTACTGTGGAACCAGCAACAATGGAAGAGAGAGCAACCGTGACTTGAACTTTAACTCGAGCAAAATTCTAGAAAAAATACAAAAATTAAAACTAAAAATTACACGAGTTTAATCCTTCATTTTTTTACAATAACCAATCAAAAAGTACATGTACATGTACTGTATGCAGATACATTTGCACAATATCAGCCCTCACTTGTCCAATCTCATAGTTCTGTCTCATCAGTAGATAAAGAGAAGCACAGGCCCAAGCCCTAACATCAGCCATTGATGAGCTGCAGTGCTTCAAGAGTCTAGCACACAACTCAGCACATTGTTCCGTCTCCTCGTAGAGTATCAGTTCAGGGAACTTGCGTACAATAGCTCTCTGACTAGCAAAGACACAGCGAGAGACTTCGATGCTTTGGTTGCAGAGCATGAGGTGGAGGAGTACTTCAAGGTTCTTTCCCAGGACGCTCTGAAGGTTCTCAATGTGGAGGGTGTTACCGATCAATAGTTCTAGTATGTCAAGAACCACTAGGCTGGCTTCTCCGGCTAATGAAGACTCAATCATAGCATCAACTTCAATATCGACTTTAGGCCTGGGAATGAAAATAATAATAATAATAATAAAATGAAATAAATGTAAGATTGTATAGAAAGTTTGAGCTGATTTTGAAGGAAATTTGATTTTTTACAACTTTGTAAAGTTACTCGAATATCATGCTAAAGTCTTTAGCCAAATTTCATCAAAATTGAAAAGTATAAAATTCTCCATTTTTATGATACTTTCTGATACATATACATGTTCCTATGTTGCATAAAAAGTTTCAGCTGATTCCAATAAATTTTGGATTTTTTATGAATTTCTAAAGTCCCCGCCCCCTCTCATTACTTCTCAGTATATTCAGCTGCTGCCTGCCACACGGTCTTTCCCCAGCGAAGAGACCCTCCAGCTGCTGGATCCTGTGACTGCTGTCTCCTCCTCTGGAGTCTCTCCTTAGCAGTACCCACCCCAGAGAGGATAGCGTTAGCCAGCTGGTCTTTCATGTTGTTAGAGTTCTTGCTGGTCGCTACCGAGGCTCCTGACAGCTGGTTCATGAGGTTACGTTTTCCTTTGTATTCAAAACAAGCAACACACAAATCAAGAACATTGAGGAAGAGATTGAGCCTGGGAAGAGAGAAAGAAGGGCATAAAGATACAATAATAATAATAATAATTCTCTTCAAAATGTCAATATCAATTTTATTCTCTAATGTATGTTCCTTATTTTAGTTTTTATAAGGGAACGCTTCCATGTGGGCTACCCGCCATCCCATTATTCCAGCTTCTGTGGATGGTGTTATTTAAGTGGACTGTTTTGTAACTGTATATTAATATTAATAATAATTATTAAGAATATCGTATGTCTTATATGGTGTAGGCTTTTGTTTTTTCTGTTGTGTAATGCTGTGGTATAATAATAATAATAATAATAATAATAATAATAATAATAATAACAACAACAAACTTCACATCATTTTTATATTATTTTATTTCACCTTGATATAGAGAGGGTACTCCACCAGTGTTTAATAAGCATAGGGTCAATGTTCTTCAGTACCCACAGAAAACATATTAAAAGGTTTCTGGTACTAGCAGGACCCAATATCTGATCATACCTACTCTCCTCATCCTATTAACTAGATTAATTATTCATTAATTGGTGGGTGTGGCTTACATCAATCTCTAGTGACCCATCACTTCCTTCCTTAATGACGACCGAGCGACGCACCTCGGTATTCCGGTCAAATGTGTTTGTCAGGTTCTCCCAACCATCAGCACCCTAAAAACATGTACATGTACATTAATTAGCCACACCTACTTTGACCACGCCTATCAGACCACACCCACCTTATAAAGTCTGTGATAGTTGTCCATTACAATTGATAGCAGTGGTAGATATATTGAAGATATTCTTGATCTGAAGTTGGTGTATCTGATATCAGAATCATGACTGGCCAGGAGGTCACGAAGGACTTCAACCGACTGTTCTCTTAATTTGGAGTTTCTAATTAATACACAATAAAGAAAAATAGATCAATTGAAAGTTATAACTTTAAAATTTGAGCTCGGAATTGACTCAAACTTTCTACACAGCATTAGGACATCAATATGTATCAGAAAATGTAATAAAAATTGAGGGTCATTTTTTAGCCATTTTTCGGAAAAAACCATGGGCTATAGTACAGGGATTTTTTCAGATTTTTGGCATTTTCTTAAAATGGCTGTAGCTCAAAAAATTGAAGTTGGAATCAGTTTAAACTTGCTACACAGCATAAGTACATCAATATGTATCAGAAAATGTAATAAAAATTGGGGGTCATTTTTTAGCCATTTTTCGGAAAAACCATGGGCTATAGTACAGGGATTTTTTCAGATTTTTGGCATTTTCTTAAAATGACTGTAACTCAATAAATTGAAGTGGGAATCAACTCAAACTTGTTACACAGCATAAGTTCATCAATATGTATCAGAAAATGGAATAAAAATTGGGTGTCATTTTTTAGCCATTTTTAGAAAAAAAAACCATGTATAGCCTTGGGTATTTTTCAAAAATGGCCAATTTTTAAAAATGGTCATAACTAGAAAATTTTTATCGGAATCGACTCAAACTTTCTACACAGCATAAGTACATCAATATGTATCAAAAAATGTAATAAAAATATTAATTTTAACTAACTTTCCCTCCAGTACGTGTGCCAGCTCAGCAAGAACCAGCCCCGATAGATAATGATAGTGCCTGAACTCTGCACTCAACTCTCCCATCACCTCCATATTAGGAATACCCAGCTCCTCGAAGGCGGAGTTAATGGACCCGGAGGGAGATGAGGACTGGCTGCCGGACATTGGGTACAGCTGGGCTCCGAGGGGAAGGTTAAGGGTCACATAGTGTTCATGACTACAGACGATGCGGTAGAAGTCCAATTTGAATTCAGTGAGGTTGAAATCAGCAGGTGCTAGTGCAAACTGATTAAAGAAAAAGAAAAAATTTTAAATACATGTACATGTACTGTATAGCCAATTAATTTTGCAAAAAATACATGTACAGGTACTTCTAAAATTTAATTAATTAGTACACATACCGGTTAATTAATAAAAATTTTAAAATAAACATACAGTGTACATGTACATGTACAGTACATGTATGTATTGTACAGCCAATTAATTTTGCAGAGAAAAATACTTTTAAAATTTATTTAATTCCCCGCCAATATTTCCAGCTGTACATGTACATGTGCGTTACCTTTTTGAGGTACCACTTTATCAAACTGAAAGTGAATCCTCTATCAAGCAGTGAGAAGCAGTCGTGAATGAAGAATGCCAAACTTGTATTCAATCTCCGAGCATTATGGACGTCCTAAAAACCACACCTATTAAACACACCCATTATTAACCACGCCCACTCACCTTGATATGTTTCTCGGCTATTTCAGACGAGACCATTCCGATTAGCATCTCTGTATCTTTGAGAAACTTTTGAGAAAACCTCAACTTTCGATCTCCGTCCAATTTACCAGCTCTTTGAAGACTCTGGGCCATGGACTTAATCTGTAAAAGATGCCAGTAAATGTACAATTTATTAAATGTATAATATATTACCAGTAGATCAAAGAAGAACCAGGCATTAGCATACACTATTGATCTGGTCGCTGGGTGGGCAGTGATCCAGCTATAGACCAACTCTTCGTAAAACTGTTTCTTTGAGGAAGGAGGACCAGATATAGCTGGACCATCAGGAGTATCCTCTCCAACTCCTGAGGATGAACTTGAGGCTAATGGAGGGGAGAGAGAGAGAGAAAGAGAGAGAGAGAGAGAGAGAGAGAGAGAGAGAGAGAGAGAGAGAGAGAAAGAGAGAGAGAGAGAGAGAGAGAGAGAGAGAGAAAGAGAGAGAGAGAGAGAGAGAGAGAGGGAGAGAGAGAGAGAGAGAGAGAGGGGGGGGGAAAGAGAGGGAGAGAGAGAGGTTTTAATGTACTTTTTGCTATTATTATTATTACTACTATTACTCAATACATCATCACACAATCATCAAAAACTGAATCCTCTTACGTTGTACAACAATGTTCCGTGAGTGTCTCATGGAAGCTGATCTCTTGTTCATAGGGTCATCATCGAGAGAGAAGGACCCACTCCTCTGGGCTGTGACGTGGGCTGGATCAAAGAGGCCAAGATTAGATGGAGGGAGGGGACTAACGAATACGTATTGAATGAAAGAGGCTAGTACAATGTCACGATTATGTTTATCTCGTTGAAGTTTTAAGGAATGGACGTTTGATATTATACTAGCTAGCGAAGAGAAGGAAGCCCTTTGGACTTCAGCTGCAGGAGAGAGAGAGAAAAAGATCATAAATAAAATAAAATAAATAAATAAATAAATGCATGTACACATGTAAATAAATAAATAAATATCTTCATTACCTGATTCTGTAGTAACAGTGGGTCTCACTAGCAGCTGGCATAAATTATTTAAGAGAAGGTGAAGGAACTGTACGGTCGGTTCAATGGCACTCTCCTCTATCTGTCTGATGCTGTTTGCCAGTCCTTTCTCTTCAGACTCTATCCCTAATTGATGCCCGAACGTGTAGAACTTTCTGAGGAAGTCGTGAAGATTAGCATCTTGAGGATAAATGGAGGAGATCATCTTAAGATGAACCTTGAACACGGGCTTGTGGTTATCGATCCATTTCAAATTAGGCAGGTGGACCTGTGGGCATTAAATAGAATGATATCGAATGACACCACATTAATATATATATTTATTTAATTATTTATTTATTTATTAATTTACATCAGAGGATAGTTGACTGTAAGCAGCTGGTGGATGGTCTGCAGTGACCGCCAGATTAAATTCACCTAACTTAAGCTCCTTCCTCTCAGCTCCTTGTAACAATGGAATCCACTGGAGAGAAGGAGAGAGAGAGAGAGTGACAATAATTATGTAAATTTAAAGTCTTACAGTACATCCTAGGAAGAAGGGTTCTTGTCTTAAAGGCACGTCCGGTTTTGGTTTCTGACACGAGACGTGATAGAATGAGAAGAGAAGATGATGCTTGTCTGTTATCTTTGGGGGCAGTTCAATCTTAATCTCCTCGTAAAACTCTGGTTGCCTATAGCAACCCGATCAAAAGCCAATCAAAATGGGTGTGGCTTACTTGTTGTGATAATGAACGAGACACCACCACTCACGGAGGAAGGCGGGGCCAGAGGAACGCCCATATATGGCGGGTATATTGTCCTCTTTATCTTCTCCAGCCATAAACTGTACCTTTATCCCTATATTCCTTTTATTGACCGAACGAAAATCAAGAAACTGTGGATACACGTACAAGAAATTCCTAAAATTAAAATAAGTGTCGTCAATTGGTAGGTGTGGTCAATATGGGCGTGGCTACTTGTATGTGTTGTACGGAGTGTAGACTTCTTTTGACGGGAATTCTTCGAGCTCTCTGATTGGTCGCCTGGTGCGACTATCAGGAAATGGGTCAACCTTGAGAAAGAGAGAGAGAGGGAGAGAGAGAGAGAGAGAGAGAGAGAGAAAGAGAGAGAGAGAGAGAGAGAGAGAGAGAGAGGGAGGGAGGGAGGGAGGTTTTAAAATGAAAGTCTCTTATTTCAATCATTACTTCAAACAGGTTGGA